AGGTGTGGTGAGCACAAATTTGTACTCATCAGCAACAAGGACAATATCCAGATTCCTCTTCCAGTCCAAATAATTTGGACCAGTAAGCTTGTTTTGATTGAGAATGGTCATAAGCGGATTGAATGACATGATGAATAACTGAAATAAATAATTGCAAACACGTAAGCAATAATTCACATAAATTTGAAAGATAAAATATGGAAACCTTCAAAACCATTATTTAACGCATCCTTCGACAACTTAAACAAACACACATGCAAGCCACGTTAGGGTGGACGTTTACACATATGTCCATCAAGCAGACTCCCAGTCATTAATCTCAATTGCACGCCAACCTGTCCTTATGGCGAATGAAATTAATAGTCGAAAATTTTTAACACTGGCCATGTGAATTAAAACAGGGACTCCGTTGGGGAGTTATATTAAAATTCACATCTAAGTGATGACCACAATTTAACCCCAAGAACAATCATTCACAATTGATGAACTTACCGATGGGGAAGACACATCGCTTGTAAATAATTTTCTAAGGTTATCTCGAAAATAATCTTTACCGGTGAACTTATGAATGACACTATCCGTTAGGGAGGAGACCCCATGGGTCACGCGTATGCCACTCACTTCACCTAAAGATTAAGTCGTTTAAATAGAAGTCTTATCTAGTAAGCTCGTGAATGCCGCATCCGTTAGGGGGAGACTCCGAGGTCCCGCGAGCGACAAACACCTTACTTAAAGACCAATTGTGGAGGCCAAATGAATTAATTAAAATTTATATTAAACTCACTTAGTCATTTTACTTGAAGGTTTTTAACAACATGCAATAAGAAACAATTAAAATTCCTTGCATGCTCCTAACACGCAAATCACATAAATCCTAGCATGCTTCTAGAATCCAAAGGAAAAGCAATAACAGCTTTCTAGGAATTAAAACCACCTATTTACATGATTACTAGCATGCCAGAAAAGCGATTTAAATCAGCTAGACACATAAACAAATAAACATGCTCTAGCAAAAATTAAATCGGCATCCACAAAGCGATAAAATGCGAAAATTAAAACACATCTATCGCAGCCCCTTAAAACCAACCACTAACAGCCTATCAAAGCTATTACATGATTTAGCAAGGTCGTGGATAAACACTCGAATCGGCATCTCGCGCAAAACCGGTAGTTCACGCGATATCGGCACCCACCGACGGAAAAGAGCCAAAAACTTCATCTAGACGATTGAATTTGACCCCGCCACAGGCTGTTACGGCGTAGTGGTAACTCTTGTAGATCTCGTTCTCCCGTTTCCGAAATGGTATTATGGGCTGAAATCGGACACCTGTAGCAAAAGTTATGGCCAAAACGGTTTTCGCTGACGAAAACGGCCCCGGTGAATGCTGAAACCCTAGCCGCCGCCTCCAGGATGATCATCTTCACCACGTTCGACTTTGAACACAAAATTACAGCAAAATCGAACAACAACAGCCCTACTACAGTCTATAAAATCGCCTATACTACCCACACTTATTATCTGGTGGGAAAAACAATTACATCAATAAACAAGGACTGCGATAGACACCATCCAGAAGCATAAACGAGATAAAAACATCATCCACACAATGAACATGACTGAAAAATGAATAAACGAATAAACGAAATCAACTACATGTTCCAGGCAGAGCCGATAATCTACGAAACCGAGTCTCTGATACCAATTGATGGAACACGCCGACGAGGCGGTCCTTTCCACGGATCGATATCGGATGCCAAAACATGTACATACATGATTTCGATTAAACCTAAGCATGCTCCTTAAGGATGAACAGAGATATACCTTTCCTCTTGGCTTTGATTCGATTCTGAGCGATCTTCTAAACTGTGTCCCGACCACGTTTAGACGCCGAATGGACGACGATCCTCTAAACGGTTGAAAGAAGAGAACTTCTAAACTGTGTCCCGACCACGTTTAGACGCCGGATGGACGACGATCCTCTAAACGGTTGAAAGAAGAGAACTGCCTACGTCTTTCTCGAACCCTTCTCGTTACTCTTTCCACGATGGTGGCTGGAGTGTCTCACGAAAATCTCTTAGGGTTTTGGAACGTGGGAAGTCCCCTCTTTTTATAGAGGTCCTTGGGCCAGCCTAGGGATCTCTTAGAAGGTATAGGGTTTGGGCTCCCTACAGGCCCAAATTCTTATGTTCAGCAACACAATTTGGCCTGCAAATATTAATTCATTCCACTAGAGAATTAATATTGTACTCCCGTCCTATCCCGAAATGAATCAGGGCTTTTATTAGACTCGATATAATTCCCCGTGTTTAAGATATCGCACGTCCATTAATTAGTAAAGCTTCTGACTGCTTTAATTAATTAATATCTTTTAATCCTTAAGTAGTATCACTCAACCTTATTATCGTACGGATTAAATCCACCTACAGGGTTTATACGATAATCCTTATGAGTTCCTTAAGGGGACGTTACCAACCTGGATGTCCAGGACACGGTGCCCTAATGCCAATAAATAGATATCATGCAGATAGTGTCGTTACCCAAGATACGGAGCTATTGAACCAATACTTGGTCCTTACCCATGGTAAGTCAAAGTAACAAACAAATATCCCATATATCTAATTACCACAGTTAGGGTTAAGAATTAGTAGAGTCACCGAGACCTAGGTTCTTCATGATAGTCAGAACAGAAGAACACGTCTCAACTGTGATCCTTTCAATGCGACGCAGCCGCACTAGTATAAACCAATAGCCAAGACAAGCTACATCCAGTTTATACTACAACCTACACCGATAGTCATGTCCATAACTATCTCAGTTGTGAATACCATTTATATCTTATAAGGAACCGACAATGTAATCTTCTGTGTGACTACTAACACACCACATTGTCTACAATATAAGATAATTGGACATTTAGCATACAAGCAATCATAAAGAATGCAACAATGTGAAAAACATTTATTTCAGTCAAATGGGAAATCGAATAATACAATCCAAAAGCTCATGTAAAAGTTTGCTTTACAGTATACTCCAACACTCCTCCTTGGTGAATTCACTCTACCCTTCTTGGATTCAGGCCTTGCCATCTTCTCCAATTTAGCAAACTCAGCCTCAGTCTCCTCGAAGTTGATGTACTTCTTGCACCTTTTCAACACCTCATCATAGGTTCTAGTAGGAGTTTTCACCAACGATGCTCGACAAGGCCCCAGTCGCAAGCTCCTAATCAGCCCCCCTGCCTTAACCTTGTCCACCGCCGTTGGGATTTCTAGCCACATCTGATTGTATCTGTCACGCCCCATTATTTATAAATAAGGAATATTGGTTTTTAAGAAAATTTTCTAACTTAAAAAGAAATATTCATTTTCCAGTTTAAACTAAACGGATATTACTTGAAAAATATTCTTTCTGTCAAGACAAAACTAAACATTTTAAAAATAACGTGTTACGATTAATCAAACAGTAATTTATACATCCAAATTAAATTTTAAGTTACATCAGAGTTTGCAAAAATATAAAATCATAACTAAAGTAGACCACACCCGTCCGCTCGTGTCCGCCGCTAGCTCGATTAACCTGAAAAACAAAACAAAGGGGTGAGCGCAGTCTCTCGGCTCAGTGGTAAAATTCATACTATGCATCGATTCAGTATAAACACAGATAGGATAATAATCATATGAACATGCAAAGCTTACTGTCTCACTGCTGACTGATTTCATTCGGCTTCAAGCCTCCAGGTAAATTCGGACTAGTGACTCTTATTTCAAGCCTCCATAATTTACCCGGCTAATTTTCTATTATACGCCGTTAACCTAAGTTCATGAACGTCGATATGGTTACTTACTAGTGCATTCAGCATCAACCGATCATGCTAATAAATAACTCTACTAGTGCCATTGGCATTACCCAATCCCACTAGTAGAAAACTTAACTGATAATTACCCGGCCTAGTGACTCTTATTTCAAGCCGCCATGGTAAAAGTTAACATCACACATTCGGCCCACATGCATATAAAAACTATACTACCACATGTTTATATAAAATAAACCATAGTATAGAACCCCCACCTTTCAACTGACTGGCCGACTGAAATGAAAGAATGCACGTGTGTCTGAATTGAGGGCTCGACTCCTCTTAATCTACAATTTAGATATTTATCTTATTATTAAGGGGCAAACAAACAAAAGCAAGCAAGGACAAATAAACATATAAGGCAGATAAATGAACAGTAAGGTACACACTAAACTTCTAACTCTCTCTTATATTCTTGAACTTAATCACTTTAACTGGAAATAAACAACTCTAATACTCTTCAGCATAGAAAGCACATAAACTCATGCTCTTCACTAGGCTGTTAACTTTAATAAAATTTAGCATGCTCTTTAAACCACTTCCATACTGAGGGTATAAGCATCAAACTCATCATAATTTCAACACCTTCATGCACAAAAATAACTCATAACAACATCCACTGAACCATTTTCAAGCAAGGCAACTTCTCACGGCATACAAGCTCTCTCTTTTCTCAGCCAAATTAAAGCACGCAATTTAATTCATTTAGGGTTGAAGATTTAACATGATTACACACAACTTCAGTATGAACAACATACAAAAATTAGGCTCAGCAATATTGAACGAGGCAAGGCAAAAATTACCATACAACAAGCCTTCTTCTTTTCTTAATTCCTTAATAAAATTCTTAAAGGCCACAACACTTAACTTTAATGTCTGAAACTTGAAACACTATTGCAGCATAAAATTCATACGATAAAGGCTTCAGTAACTCAATCAAAACAAAGCCAAAACATGTCAAAGTTCCCCCTTTTTTTTAATTAAAAAAAAAACTCAAGCACACCTATTCTTCTACTTTGCCGCTAGTCTCTTCTTAACAAAAAAGGAACTCTAAACACATTGAACTCGCCAAAAAAAAAAAAAGAATAATTTCGGCTCAGCTAAGATACCTCTCTCGGGAAAAGGTGAAGGAAGATAGGCTCGGTGTCAATGGTTGGGGTTCTCGGCTCTCCGAAACGGCTCGGCTTGCTGCCGCTCCCAACCGCGCGTCACCTGCTCTCAGCCTGGTGTCGCTGGTTCTGCTTGGTACTCGCGGGAAGCCCGGTGGTTCGTCCTGATCGCGGTCGCCGGCTCTCGAATGACGTTCACTGCTCCTTGCTAGAAATCGGCTGCTCCCGGTCTACCAAAAAAAGTGTCTCAGCCGTTGGACAAGGCTGCTTCCGGCCAGGAGCTGTTCGGCCTGCTTCAGTCACGGAGGAGCTCGATTCTGACTCGCCGGAAAAATGGGGCTTAAATAGAGAGAGATTAGGGTTTCGCCTTGGAGGAGATGTCGCTGCCGGATTTTGGGGGAAGGCCGGAAATCATGGAGGTGATGAGCCGCAGACCGATTCTCGCGAAATTTGTTGTTCTGCTACTCGAAGAAATGAAGGAAATGGGCTGAAATTTTTAGTCAAGAAGAGAATGGCTGCTGCTCAAGAACTCCTCTTGGCCTGACCAAAATAACTGGAAAAATTGGGTTGGGAAAGCATGGGTCTGTTATGAAAAACTACTACTTGGACTGAGTTTTGTTTCGTGAAAATGGGCTGAAATGATAGCTACTGTTGGGCGGAAAATAATATTGACTTGAACCAAGTTACTCTTAGTTGTTAGGCATATAGGCACGTGAGACTTTAAGCATTAAATCAAACACACATATAATATAATTTGAACACATATGAAATTAAAACAAACACTTAGGCATGTAAATATAAATTTATATAAAGCATTTAGAAAAATAAATTCACTTAAGCACTTAAATCAAATAAGCATTTAAGCACAAAATCAATAATCACATAAATCAAATAATCACTTAAGTACACAATTAAGCACATAATTACACTTAGGCAAACAATCCAATTAAGCACACTTAGCATATACATACAAATTAGGCACATAATTCACTTACGCATATAATTTGTACAAATACAGTTACCACAAAAGGACTTGGGCAAATTTAAATTAAACAATTAGCACATAATACAAATAAACACTTAGGACAATTAAAAGCTTTAGGCAGAAATTCAGTTAAAACAAATTGCAAATAAATAAGCACACAAAATACAATAAAGTATATAATTCACTAAAGTACACATAGCATTTAGAACAATTAAATAAAACAAGAGCATAAAAGAAGAAATAAGAATCGAGATTTAAATTAAGTCGAGCAATGGAATGAAATGAGATGCTAAGCTTATTAAAAAGAAACGAGGCGTTACAATATTGAGCAACATACTTCCTCAAGGACTCCTTCTCCCCTTGTCTCATTGCCATCAACGTGAGATATGTTTTCTTCTAGACCACTGCACTCGCATATTGATTTGTCAACTTGTTAGCCAGACCCTCGAAATCCTCGATCGACCTAGGGGAAGTTGGTGAAACAGTCGAGTGCACCCCCCTCCCCCCCCGGAAGGTCGACACAAAGGCTCTGCAGCAAACCGAACCCGAGAACCCGTGTAAGACAGCCATGTTTTCAAATGCCCTCACATATCTCGCTGGGTCAGTCGATCCATCATAAGTGAGATTCATCTCCATGAAATTTGTTGGCAGCGGTGCAGCCAAAATCTCCCTGGAATGCGGATGCCCTCAAGCACGCCTCTCTTGCCTCCCATCCATCCTCTCCTGCAACTGACGAAGTTTCTCCGCCATCCTCTCCATCGCCCTATCTCTGGGATCCTCGTCTCCACCATAGCTCGACACATCCTCATCCTGAGCCCCATCCACCGTGGTCGGCACAGTCGTAGCCTACGAAGAGTGGTTGGTAACCTGCTGCACTGCTTGCGCCGCCGCGTTGGCCATCATTCTCTGCATCTCTTCCCTGGTCATCGTCACCATCTGCTGACCGCGCTGGATCTCCTCTCTGGGCTGCACTACCACCTGTGTTGTGGGTCCAACCAGCTGTAGCCCGGTCGGATCTGTTTGAAACGGTGCAGGAACCGATGCTGGTGCAGCTGTGCGAGCCTCTTGTGCTCGACTTGTTTCTTCTTCCCTTACTGGAGTCTCCGATGTTCCCCCAACATCTTGCAGGGCGGGTATCGAGGTTATTGGCATTAGCAAAGGTTCGGAGAAGCCTGGTCGAGGGACTACTCCGAACGGTCTAGTCATTGTCTACGCCTCGTCGAACGATGACTGAAGATTTGCACGAGGAATTCCATCCTCCATGGTTACACCTCTAACACAGCTTTTCAAACAAAGTTCCCACAAACGGCAGCAATAATACAAGTGTAACGCTCCGACCGTCTGAGAACCGTCTCGATCTTGCTCCTCTCGTCGGTAGAATGCCGTGACCTGCATGAAACTCTCACACCGGGGAGATTTTTCGGTGAAGAGCCTCCAATGCTCAAGTCAGGTTTGAGAAGATGGAAAATATATGTAATCAGTGTTTAAGTGTTTATGAGATTGATTTCAAGAATGAGAGACTTCACCCCTATATATAGGGATGAATTACCTGCCCTAGGAGCTGCCCGAATCAGCTGAGTTGGCTGCCCCAACTGCCCGATCCACTGTCTCCACTATCTCTACGTCAGGAATGTGTCAGAAGGTGTCAGAGACCGTTACTAGCATAGACCAAATTGGCGTACGCCACGTGTCCTTTGCACATGTACTGGAGATTCCCTTAGAGGCTCTGATGTTCAACCAGATCTGGGCAGGTCGTTGGACTGCCCTTGAGGTAAAGGATGGTCAATCTCACGACCATTCATGTTCGATCACCTGATGCTTCGACCAAGGCGGGTATTTGGCCAAGTGATCCTTCGTCCGCGTAGCTTTGCCTTCTGACCTTTGTCATTCAACGAGTATTCTGCCCGACAAAACCGATTGAGCCGATTCATCCCCTTGACTCGGCGGACCGGTCTAATATGACATATAATTTCATTATATATTAAATAGATAAATAAATAATAAAAATACTCTACAAAAGATATAACTTATGGATTTCGCTATTTTAAAATTGTGTTTGGGATTATTTCATATCATAAAGACTCATTAATAAATTTTTTTTCTTCTTTAAGGGGATTCATTAACAATTGGTCAAGTTTTAATAGTTATTGTGATTACTTTTCTATCCCGTGAAATTGCACATCTTGCGTGCTCTGCTATTTCAATTTTTTTCTTTTAGATGTCACATATCTCATATATTCCGTTTAATTAAATTCTATATTACAAAGAAAAAACACCAAATATTATAGATGAAGAGTAAAAAATTAGTTACAAAAATATAACCTACATAAAAATAATTAGTAATAATTATTGAGTGTAGGTATAAATTGAATATGCTTATAATATATAATGATGTAGTAAAAGATAAAAAAATTGATAATATACTTATAATGTTTATATATACTTAGTGAAAGAATTAATGTTATACACATAGTAAAAAATAAAAAGT